TCTCCCTGAGAGTGACTATAACATGCCGTCACACATCTTTCCATCGCTATGGTAACGGCACTGAGGTGTACATGAAAAGAAACCAATGTGCTGTAACATGGGGACATTAGATCAGGACTAGGTCAGTATGACCCGCAATTGGTGATCCATTCACCCATAAGGCAGTCCGATGAACAATGACACTCACATTTCACTATGTGAAGTACCTGAGCTTTGCCAGTTGTATCTCTGGCTTGAAATGTTGCAGCCTGCATCTTTGGCAAGTAAATTTCCCAATTTGCTTTTTTACTGGTTGATAGCAGGGTCACTAACATATAACAGCATCCATACATATGTATGTAAAAAAAAAAATATATATATATATATATATGCCAAACTACTTAATAACTACACAGTTTCTTTTAAAGAATTTCATTCTTACAATGAGGCTTTTTTTTTTTTGCAGAAGACTGTAAAGTCACATAGTCACAAGTTGTCAAATTTCTTATCCAATCAATATTTATCAGCATAGGTTTTGTTTTGAATGTACATTTCTGTATAGACATAAGATAGGAACTGTCCTCACAAATCTTATATAAACAAGGTCAATGAGAAATAAGATAAGAGATTTGTATACTGCACTGTCTGAGCAATTGTCTGCCCCTGATAAATTTAGATCTGATTACTGACTTTGTCTATTCACTTAATGGCAGTCAGACAGTCATCAGATTCCTATGAATAACTCCATATTATTGAAACAGCTGATTCATTGTTGTGGACTGAGGATTCATCAAAACGATGACGGTTCCTAGAACAGAAAACACTGCAGTACGTTCAGTCTAGAGGAATGGACAATATCTTTATTGGCTTTGCACAAAATACATTAAAGCATTCACACCCACTGATCAAAAATGCAAATATCAAGACAGAAACTCATTCACATTGAAATGCAACAGCAACGAGAACAAGAACTTTAACATGTACTGGAATGTTTTTTTTTGTTTTTTTTTGGTCTTGCTTTATAGTCTTTGTGGTTTATAAAGCCTCATGCATTTAAAAGGAACAGATAAAGAATAAGAAAATACACAAGAAAGTAAGAAAATTAAGTATTGATTGTATTTCAATCACCGTGTGATCATAATAAAGGCCACAGAACAGACAATATGGCCCTGTTAGTTAGGAGAGAAATGATATACAAACTGAAACTGAAAAAGGTTAATATGGCACAACTTCATGCAGTTCATCAATACAGTGCAAACATTAAAGAGTCATATACTGTAAATGTGGAAACACAATAGTGCAAACACCAAACCAACAAGCACTGCCATGACATTATTCTGGAGATAAGAAATCCAGAAACCCAACAAACAGTAATCTAACATCTATACTGACAAATGAATCTCTGTTATATACTGTAAATTACAAACACCTGCATCACCCACTCTAGGTGATCACCATTAGGACAGGTACACTTAAAGGAACAGTTCACCCAAAAATGAAACATTTCTGAAAATGTACTCACCCTCAGGCAATCGAAGATGTAGATGAGTTTGTTTCTTGATCGGAAAAGATGTAAAGATATATTTAGCATTCCATTACTTGCTCACCAATGGATCCTCTGCAGTGAATGGGTGCCGTCAGAATGAGAATCCAAACAGCTCATAAAAACATCACGATAATTTACAAGTTATCCACATGACTCCAGTCCATTAATGCACATCTTGGAAAGTGAAAAGAAGAGTGTTTGTAAGAAACAAACTCATTATTAACCCATTTAATCCCAATTTTTTTTTCAGACATGAAAATATCCAGATGATGTGTCATTAGTAACCCTTTAAAATAATAAAGAAGTGTGTGAAAAATTGTGTTTTATTTTCGGTCACAATTGTGACCAGTGGGATAATGTGTATACTGAATTAACATATTTCAGCAGTCACAAAAATGTTTATATATCTCAGCCCAGCTATTTGAAACTCTGTTTGATCACATTCTATGGTTACTATTATGCATAAAAACCCTTGTACAACACTGATAGGAATACTGAGATAAAATAAATAAAACAAAATAATAATAATACAACCATCAACGTATTTCAAAATTGTTACTTTATTGTAACATATATCATAAAATTATTGTATTAGTGCTACCAGTATTACAACATCAACTGTTGTAACTCATTTGTAACATTTGAACTTTTAATTTAGTGCAATATTTTGTGATTGCAACATTTTAGTGCATTTTTCACTAACAACTGCAATTGGATTCATATGTATACCTAAATTCACTGTTATCCCACCGGTCACAATTGTGACCATCAATATGTTTACTGATTCTATGACAACACTCAACAAAATTGAATAATTGTGAATTCATATATTAATACTAGACACCTTAAAGATAATGTGGATCAAAAATCTTTGTCATATCAGTTAACATACTTTACTAGCCTTCTCATGGTGCAAACAGGAAATAAACTGCTCTGGTCATGTGACACTTTGCACTAGCCATGTGAAACTGCACATATTATTTATTTGAGACCCTTTATTTTTTCCATATTTGCAAGAAATGCACTAAAGCATCAGTCAGTAAGTAAGGTTTTTAGAGCTTTATAAATGAAAACCCTCTTTACGGTCACTATTGTGTCAGGTGGGATTAGATGGGTTAAAGGCACAATATGTAATTTTTCGCCGCTAGAGGGCGCGTATTCAAAATAAACAAAGAATTAAAAGCGTAGTTTGATGTCGCCGTGACTGAGTGTGGAATCATGGGAGTTGTCGTCTTCATCCCCACAGCCGATGCAATCTGACGGGACTCGGGCAGAAATCATGTTCATGGATGAGCTAATGATTTATTAACGT